ATATAAATTGCTAAAAGGTCTAAAGGTTCGAGTGGGTACTTATGGTAACTTAAGGTACAAAAGGTAACTGGAGGTAACTAGAGGTAATCTGATGATGGTGGTTGTGATAGAAAACTAAGCGTGGAGAACTTCATATCTACAGACCATGCCATCATATATATACCTGCACTCCTTCCACTAGCTCATCATAACATAGACCTTAACCCAGTATCAACATGATACCATGTGTCAAGGACTGTGCTGTTGTCATAGCAACATAGAAATAATGGTAAAATTATATACTGAAGGAAGGATCGGAAGAGGAATCCTTACAGTTATCTCCCACTACAAAATTACGGTACTATGTATACTGGCGAGGAAAAAATTACACAATAATCTTCAGAGACGGGTCTTGGTCCATGGGGGATCATTACTCTAATGGGGCTTCACATCTAGAAGGAGTAAAGGCAGCTGGGATGTGGGACGAACGAGGGAAGAGGTCACAAATGGGTATACTACAACTCTCATTTTTCGAATGTTTACAACTCAAGAGTGTTTGTGGGCGCAGCGGAAACTATTTTGGATGGTTCAACCAAAATTTTATTGTTCTTTCATTTTATTGTCCTGTTTGAGTCTAAGACTATGTAGAACATGTAGGTTCTCTCTGCCTGCAGACCAAGGATACCTATACCAGTAGTATATCCCTTCTATGCCCCTTACACAGCCCCCCTCAAACTGTACCACCCCTCACAAGTCCTCATTCGATCATACACTTAGAGGAGCCCTTTGCCCTTTACTATCTCCCCTCTCCAGCTAAGGAAACGATGGCCATTTGCGGGTGTATGGCAGCAGGAAAATTTCACAAAAACCACTGGCTGCAGGGCTCTCCTTCTACCGACATTAGGACTAAATCCGAAGATATAATAAACCTTCTGAAGCTTTCGGAGAGACCGGCCAGCTGGGCGCTGCAGACTTGTAGGCACCTAATAGAATGGACTCTCTGCCTTTCTAGCCTCCTTCCAACTCCTTCCCAAAAGTCGTGTTGGAATGTCGGAAAAGTCTTGACAGAGCGTGATTGCTGTATAGTAGCTTAGCCCAACTTCTTTTGTACCGTCCAGGGCGTTGGGGAGTGCCGTTGACTCTTCGACGAAAGAAGCCCTCCTGGCTAATTAGCCGAAATCTTGGTCTTGGTGCCTGCAAAAAATCAAAAGTTGGAAACCCCTCGAAATGTCAGTTCCAGCATGGTCTTCGGCTGCCTGTTCTCCTTCAAGTTGTTTGTCCCATTAGAGCTACAGTCCACCATAAGCTAGGACCCTGGCTTTGTATTTTTGGACTTGATTCCTCCTTGGGGTATAAATTGTTGGAACAGTAGTCATGAACATTCTAGTAATAGGTGGAATATGTATTAACCTATTGTAGCAGTAGTACAACTTACGTAATATTCTCTTGGCATTCTTACACGACACCAAGAGGATTAGAACAGATAGATAGAATTAATATATGTGAATGTTTTTGTATTGTTTTATTGAATCTATTTATTGCCTTTTATTTACGCGTGTATACAGTATTGTACCAACATAAATAGCATCGTAAATATGTAGTGAGAGATGGCTGTAAATTAATAGGGCAAGCTCCTGTTTGTAATTGGAGCAACTTCTTTATCTGTTGTTGAGGCTAGATGATATGTGGTTAGAAAGAGGTTGAGGACTCAGAAGATAGTGGTGAGTGCTGCATGTTTGAGAAGTCATCAAATGGAGATATGCATGTGTTAGCTTTCGACTTCGATTCGGATGTGATTCTTCTTGGCTATCCCAGATATACTGAGCATGCTGAGCAATTACACTGGCACCACTGGAAGGTGAAGAATTCGTCTTTTTCGGCAGTACACTTACAATAGTGAAAAACTTAAACATCCAGATTTCAGTTATCTCATACATCGTGAACCATAAACCTCTACCTCATCTCTATCACTCAACGACAAATCTTCAACAAGCTGGAGGAGTCTAATGTATGATTATATCCAAGCCGTGAACCATTCTGAGGCCTATGTTCACCAAGCTAACTCTGACGGAATCTAGCCCAGAGGTGTATCAATTTAATGAGAGGTGTAGACTCGATTGTTTCCAAGTTTCAGAACTCTAAAATATGTGAAGCCGTGGCAAACGCCTTCTTACGTGCATACCCGAAAAGTAGTGAGTGAAAAAAACTTCTAATTTTATTTTAGTGTCTATAACCATTGCAGAATTGAACCATTTCTAAAGTTGGCTTTAATCACGCCAAAACCTGCTTTTCTTATGCTACAATGAAGTGTGTAAATTATTACATTTTAAATTGTTCTACATTAGGATGTAGCTATTAGATAACGCATGTTTACTGACATGGAACATTTGCCAGATCTAATAGACTGGTGTGAATGCAAATGGAGATGTTTAAATTCAATACAGGTTCTTAGCTAACATTAGTGCACTTTCCCGATTCAAAGAACTTTTAGAGAGCTTACCTGCACTATTATATTCACTATGCATGCCACTTACTTCTCTAAATTTAGACAGTTTGGCTATGAATGTAACGCATTTCTCTTCTACCTAGTTCATCTAGCACTGCCCTCCTATCGCTTATATCATCAGACATCTGACACTTCTTAATGTGACATTCAGTCCACATGTCAGTTATAGATTGTCTTTATCTCTTCCATAATTTAAGTCAAAAAAAGTTCCGCAGCAGAGTCTTCACATTAAAAACTGAAAAGCGTTTCTTTGTTTTCAATAGACACCTAGCTTACCTCCTGACCACAAAGCTCGACCTCATGATCTGTTGCAATTTCATAGTAAGAGGAGCAGAAAGTATAGCTCAAAGAATATTGTTTCCATTAAAGCTCTAAGTTACATGTAAAACGCGAATTTATGAGCGCATATCCTAGAGTTAAAGTGGGTATGCAAACAACAATTACTACAGTGAAAAGTCTTCAGCACAGCTGACCACGAAACCATTGTGCGGGGAATTAAACAGTACTGACCCTGCACCATTAACGCCATCCTATTTGTCGCAAAGTAAATGTGACCATATCTCTCACTGCATTTGTATATAGTATCATATTATCCCGCACATGCAAATGTATGAGAGAATATCTCAACAGCGAAAAGAAACTAAAATGTGGAATACAGGATGTATTGTGCAGCATGCAGGAAAGTTGTTCATATTTGCAAGGAATGCCAATTATTGTAAGAAATGTGGCAAATTCCAACATGATCGCACTTATGAGCAAAGTTTTTACCATAAAGATTTCGAAGTATACTGAAGTATTTCGAGGCTAAGCTCATTTGTTCTCATTTAGCAAAAGTTATATAAGGTCTCGAACAATTTTCTGATGCTTACTCAAACACAGAGGGGAGTCGGCTAACTCTTTGATCATGTAAATATGGTGCAATATGATTGAGTCAGGTATCAACTGGGATTATTTTGCAGAATAATTTTTGGCTGATTACTGATGATTAGTTACGGCCTCGTCTCAACCTGGCCCTAGGTACAATAGCGTGAGTACATATGGTACGCGCACGTTAGCATATAGTCCCTGTCTACCTCTAGAAACTCTCTCCTCATAACCTATCTACTTCTTTAATCTCTACATTAGAGCTGCCTCCCTGCCACCTCCTACTCTCGTGATTTAATTGTTACTATTTTGCATTTATTTTGTTGAGTTATGTCCCATCAACCTTCAGGAATCGGATTAAATTCTTAAAGATACTGTCAGTAACTTGCCGTATTTATCCATGGTAATTTTTTCCAATTACAATCCAAAACAACTTTCAATATTGTGATTTCCACGGATAAAATAGAAAGGCGAAAATATCACACATAGAATTAACTTACGACCTTCACTTCAAGATGGTTTTTTCGAATGCCATAATTATCGGGTTGTACAAAGTATCAGGGTCATGAGTAGTACCTGTCGCAATGTCTTCGCCCTTACGAAATATAATTTTCCAGAAAGTCCAGACAAGAGTCCTGACATTATTGAATATGGGTGAGATAAATTCATAGATCTCTTCTCCGAATGTTTCGAGTTTCATCAGCATTTTCTTGTTCGTGTGGATCTCTTCTGCAGTCCCCGAGTACCACTTTCTTAAGAAGTCCAAATACGGTGACTTGTTATCTGGCCATCCATAGCGTATGCTTATCCACAACAGGACGTAGAAAAACGACTCAAGATCATGCCGGTATGAGTTTGACACTACAGCCCCAGGTACTGCAAGGCTGTTCTTCAGGATTTCCAGTGGCATAAATTGCATGGCTCCCGTCATCGCTTCCAGTTTCCCTTGTGCCTCGCCGTCCTTGAACAAAGTTGCGAGGTCCAGGTCGATCAGAATGCCTCCATAATCTTTAGGGCCGTCACAGATCTTCAGAAGGATGTTATTCACCGAAATATCTCGATGCAATATTTTTGCATCGATAAAAAGTGACCTATGAGCCTTGATGGCGTCGCGAAGCCCCATTACTACTTCTAGCGTCGTGTTAAAATCACCGATTGGTTTTCCGATTGGCGATATTGCGACTGCTGCTTGCTGGCGCTTCCGTATGTCGACACACTCCGCCCTTTCAACCTTGTATCCAGATGGGACGAAATCACTCGTAAACGACATCATCGATTCTTCACTCGCTTCGGTCATACTTGTATGGTTAGATTCACCCCCAAGAGAAGAGCATGGTCCATCATTTTAATCAGTTGCTGCTTTCTCTGTATGACTGGAAAAATGGATTCTTTTGAGACGATCATTGACATCTATGTCTTCCTGGATCTTTCGCTTTCCACCAACCGATTGACTTATTCGTAGTTCCTCGATTCGACTGCTACGTCTCTGCGGATTTTGGGGAACGACAAGGCTTTCATTGGCTGAAGTGATCTTTCCTGGTTCAACGACTATTCCAGTTGGTCGTGATCTAATTTCGACTACAGGGACACTTCGAGGTACTTCTGTAATCATTAACATATAAGTATATCTTCCACTTTTGATACCGCATGTTTACTGACCTTTAGTTCCACTTCGTATTCGCATATTTACGGACTCAATTATGGCTCCGGCCTGTCCTGACTCGCTCTTCCGTTTTCGAGATTCAGCTTTGCTCGTGCTCTTCTTTAGGTATTGAACAGAATTCCCACTTAAAACGACTGGCGTGGTTAATATCTCTTAAAGGACGTATATAGAATGTAATATAAGTTAATTGATGTGTAAGTTACAGGTATAAGAATGGCTAGTATACAACGCTAGAAAGTAATGTAAACGCTACAGGATAAAGTCATGTGACATAAAACAGCGTAAGGCTGACACTTCAACAATATCTTTTCAGCCGGTCGTGTGTACTTCACCATGAGATGAATAAAAGTAAGTCCCTTTCGGAGCGTACTTGTCTGTACTAAGTCGCGCGATCCGATGAGCTTTGCCATGCCTACAACATCCTTTGCAATCTTGAGCAATTCTACCTCGGATGTTTTCCCACAAATCTTCCACGAGAACTTTACCACGTATTTTTTATCAGTAGAGGAGTAAACAGTTGTGCCCCTGGAGACAAGCGACGATTGACATAGCAACGGCTTCGTAAAAAGAGAAAACTCCTGCATGACACTTGACCCTGGAACCTTCATCTTGATAATGATCTCGTCACCGTCATTTCGAATATTTGAGTCGATCTCGTGCTCTTTGTCGCTCATCAACATGTAGGCAGCCAGCACGTGGACTAGTTTTTTTGGGGATTTCCCAATATCAATGATCGACTCACAATAAGGCCCTGACCGATCAAATACCCAAAGCTGAAGTTTAGTTCCGAAAAGTATGAGCCTGTGAACAAAATGACGTAGTGGCTGGGCCAAGAAGACTTCACTCATATACACACAAAGCTGAAGAAACTTGTCCAAAAACGCTGACATTGGTAGCTTTGTCAGCTCTCCTACCACAAGTACGTCGCGCCAGTGATAGCCGTCACCATTAGGGAGATTATTTCGCTTGATAAAATAATCAAGCTGTCGGTCAGTTTGCCCTCCTTCGATTTGTCCTTTGGATAATGTGTGGCATTGTGTGGCTTCAATGGAGTACATGAATCTAATTCCGGCCATCTTTCCTTTCTCCTTTGCCAATTTTGTCAAGGTGTTAACAGAAGATTTGATAATCTCCTCTTCCAAAGCCTTCATCCATCTCCACACATCCGCCTCCGCGGGATCCTCAGGAAATTTCAGCTTTTCTTCTCCTGAGCGAGCCTCGTACTCTTTTGATAATGCTTTGCAGTGCTTCGAACACTTAGGCTTTTCAAAGTATTTTTTCCAGAATCCTTTCACATTCATAAAAACCGATCCAGATAGTTCATGGCGCATTGATTCCTTAAGTTCTTCCAATGTTTTTCCTCCTCAATCGATTAGTACTCCAGTACGTCTGTATATGGAAGCTGCAGCTAATTTATTTGACTGATCGGCGGGTACTTTAATGCTTGTTTCAAGTGTATCAACAAGGTGCATAATACACTGCCAAACCTCGAGGTCGGAAGCATTATTTAATATTAATCTTGCTAGTGGCTCGTAGGGGGCCATGTCGAATAATGCTGACTTCATCCAGCTTTGAATTCGAGTCATTTGTCTGAATAGATTTTGGGAATCAGGAGAGACAAAATCTCCCAGATTAACGTGTAGATTTAACAGACTCCATAAATGTATAATAGGTTCCCTTGAGGCTACCTTACCGATGGGATTTTCGAAGACCTTGCCACCTGTATCAATAAAATATATCTTGTAGATGTCTCGAAAGAGCTTTAAAACACTGGAAAGTGGATTTTCCTGTAAATATACCACAACTTGTTCGGTTAGAGACATGTTATAATTGTGGTGCAATTTAAATTTATGATCAAAGTCTGATTATAATGGCAGAATATATGAATCAGAAATTTGTTCAGCAAGGGATGTGTAATAGAGGTGTACTGTTTAGGGAATATGTCGATTGGCTCCGAGTTATATAATGTAAATTTGTATTATTATACTCTAGGTTTTTTCGTGATTGAACAAGCCCTACACATTTGTTCAGTTGACCTGTCAATTAAACTCCGGTTATCGAACGACATAAGCGCAATAAAACTGTCATAATTTGGTTGGCATTAGTATCCCTACAAGTAATTATCCTTTTCTAGCTTGATTGAATCTGGATTGAGGTCCATTAAATGGCCAGGGAAGTTGCCAATGCAGATAGAGCAACGATGTTGATGCGTCACATTTAGCCCAGCTTCATTTACTAGGCTAGGTTCGATGGAAAAGACAAATCATTGTGTTGAGTAATGAAAATAATAATACGTGATAGTCTGCACAATCATTTCTGCACTCATGAAAATATTGGAACGGTTTTGCGTAGACTCGCTTCCGTCCGTTCGATTAGGAATATTAATGGTCGACATATTTTTTTTTAAATCATTTAATGTGTATTCAGCTATCTAGCTATGACACATGACCGGTGCTATGTATACATATTGGATGACTCTTTTGACATTAGAGACACTCATACTCTGGATTTCATTTGCAAATACCACTATGAGGTATGTTTGCTTACACAAACAGTCGACCCTCCTCCGTTAGTACCCACCAAAGGGAATTTAAAAACCTTTGATTATCCAAGCATGCCTTCGTCATCCATGCATACCAGCGCCGCGAGAAATGTGGTTATATTTTGCCGGATTTGAACCAGCGATCTACTGTCTCAAGTGGGATATGTGTTCAAGCTATCCAGACTCTACTTGGCAGACCGGCCAAGACGATGTACCACCGCACCATCCAACTAAAGCGGTCTTTATAGTGTCGCCTGCACTCTCGCAACCAAAGTCTTGGCGCGCACAAAGCTCAATTTGTAAAACTCCTTTCCAAAATTCAAAATTCCACGCCCGTCGAGACTGTATCCAATCCTCTGCATCATCTTATTAACTTGTCCTGATCCCTCTCACATCCATTCCAAGGAATTATCTTCCAGATTTGTGCGCCACGCTTTGCTTCCTCCGTGGGGTGTAAATATCGGCGTGGGCGTGTATCTGGCGACCAGCTAAGGCCAGAGAAAGTCGACAAGAGGTGTGGTCATTGGGATTAGGATGTACTAGGTCGTACTTGTAAACTTGATGAGGTTTAGGTAGGAATCGATTTCGTTGGGAGTGAAAGATTGATATGGTGGAGTAATTTGAATCATTGCCTCGTGGGCCAACTTGTTTGGTATTGCGAAGTTTGACTGAACTTGGCTCTGGGAGAATATTTCACTCCCAGGTTCGTAGAGGACACCGCGTACAGGTGTTCAGTCTTGCCCTCCCCGCCACAACTTTGCAGTGGTACTCACAAATGAAATCTGAGGCATGAGTGCTCCTCTTGTAAATTGAGTCATCTATTCTGTACTTTCCTTTGGTATTGTGTCATAGCTAGATAGCTGCATACGCAATTAGAACCTGATGCAAAAAAAAAGAAAATGACGTTTTAGCCCTCTGATAATTGGGACAAATCATCTATCAAGGAAATAATAATCGCTCAGTTATTGAGGTTGTAGAGCGCAATGAATTAGTGACTACCGAAGTCAAACTAAGTACAAAATTTTCAGTCACGTGTGTATCAACAACGTGGCGTACATGATAGCCCCAATTACTCTAAATTCTAACATCTTCTACAAGATTATATCGGAGTCAATCGTAGCCTCTCATTGAGCAATCTCAAGAATTATTTCCAATGTCTGTGATAACAAACACAGATATAAAATGTCGACGAAAAAGGTTAAAGTCGATGAGGATGTTCCAACATATATCCTTGTCTAACCGAGAAAGGAAGGATGTGAAAGATCCTGGCGCCAATAGATACCATTGGGAATCTATTGGGAAATACTATGTTATACCAATGAGTAATGATCTAGGTCAATCATATCCCATGGAGCATGTGCACATTATTCTAATGTGAACAGTTTATTGTAATGCAGTCATGTTACTCCCACAATTACAACAGTACCCTCCGCTTTTAAGCCGCCATAATGCCAGTGCTTTTCTGCACAGGGCCAGGTGACTGATTGATTTTTCCCACCGCATTCGCAGTCAAGTGCGGCTGTCGTTTGGTTGAAGCGGTGATGATATGCCACAAAGTATTGTGATTGCGAGGAGAGGAATTGCATACAAACAATGGCTTTATCAATACAATATGCTTGACACTGTTATGGAGTGGACAATGATATGCGTTTGCTTTATTTGACTTGTTTCCAGATTATCGCTATCTAAACGAAGGAGGAAACTCCTATTTATAGTTATAGTTCATCTACCTACTTGCCAGTAGAATATTCCATCTTATGCTATACAATAGTCTACATTTTTGTCCATATAATCCACAAGCAACTGTCTATGATATCAATGTACCAACCACATCTTGTAGAGGTCTCTATATCATGCAGTACAGCTTGTCTGATTAGCTGAGAGAGTTCACATCATAACACAAAGTCCCTATGTCTATTTTGAGGGCGATCAAGCGAACGTAGACCACTATCGGAGCGTTAATTCTGGCGGTTTCTTGCGCCGCATCTCGAGTTCGAGGTCGGCGTAGTGTTTAGAGCAGTTCAAGTGCCACCAGTCCTTCAAAATTTACCACTTCGCCATTGTTGTAATGCTAACCTGCAATCCGAAAAAAGCCATGGACGTCTTTCTCGGCTACATACCCATCTATAGACTAATCCTTCGTGATCAAATTTTTCATGGTAGTTGAAGTTTCCGTGAGCAGCTATAGCTGCTAATAGGCGTTGATACGCCCATATTGATAGAGCTAGTTTAATTGGACGTTTGCGTTTCATCATGTTGAGCAAAGTTAAACTAATATGAATCTCTCTCGGAGTTTATTGAATTGATTATCCTCTACCATGAGGAATCTATCTAGGTACTATATACATCTTGAGTATCCTACTAATTCCAAATATAGACTGACTATTAGATTGCCCATGCGAACTGCTCAAATCTCCGTTCCATACATGGTTCTGAAATTGGCTGTTACATTATCATGGGCAATAGAGAAAGTGAAACAACAAGGGAGTTGTGCATATGAAATTGGTCATCCGTCTAGTTGCTAGTTGTAACATTTGCATGACTAAGTTATTGCCCTTGATGCATCAGCCCAGTTTACTTGCTTGTAAACTACTCAACTTAGACATCATGATACAACATTGAAATTTAGGGTTATCTGTCTGACACATCATTAGGTCCAGATCTTTGTGCCCACTAGATCTATTCTCTCGCCACCAAGGCTCAAGTATCTCCTCTACGAATTTTCTGACGTTGCAGTTTAGGGCTGCGAAATTGTATCTCTGATAACTGTTTGAACTTGATATGTGAGTAGCGCTGGAGAGAGCTTGAAGGTATTTCAAAGTTGCTTCAGCCAGTTTATCGGCATAGGAGCTCCAGATTATCCCAGAATGACGTGGGATCCACTGTATCTCTACTGACCTGTTCGGTCCTTACAGCGTTGTGAATTCCTCGACAGTAGCTTGAGACGGTCTGCCTCGACCTGTTTCAAGCGAGAAGATGGCTCAGAATAATCGAGGAGTATCTTGATAAGGCCTTATCATGCTAGTGTTACGGCAGCTTCTAGGGCTTTCTAGGCTCCCGGAAGTTTCGCGTCGAACACTTCAGCTCCGTCTCTTGTTCCTGAACCGCTTCCAATCAGCCTCGTTCCTTTATATGAGGTAGAGCCCCAGGCTTATCTGTTTGGGACGTCTGATGAGCCATTTGAATAAGCACACATCGTCTACGGAGGGAGATTATCTATCCATATCCTTGCATAATCTGCTTCTTTTTGCCTTTCGGGTCCCGAGATGTTCCTTGTGGGTTGGTTTTTTTTTGCGATTGGTACACTTAGAGCACTCTTTTAGAGACGTGTATGATAGCGCTCTGGAACAGTAATCGTTCGGGCTTTCTGGCCTGCTTGGAATTCTAGTCACCTTGTAATATCTTCTGGTTCCTCTCTATATCTCAAAGCCAAGGGATGCTATACATCTAGTCGTTGAAAGCGCGTTGCTGCGCGTAGTTTTCTCTTTTCAGAAAGATTGCTACTGGTGGATTGCCTGACTCTCTCCGAATAACTGAATTGGGGTTGAGCGCCAAGCTGGCAGTGCCCCTTTGACAACATTTATGATTGTCTTGTCCAGCAAATCCATATTCCAACCAGCTACGGTGCTTACTTTCTTGTCTTACTGGGCGGTGATGCAAGCTAGGCCTAGTCACCATGCCTCCGCTCCATACAATACCACACTGAGCCGGCAAAGACGAATTCTTCACCTTCCAGTGGTGCCGATGTAATCGCTCAGTATGCTCTGCATATCTGGGATAGCCAAGAAG